AACAAAAACAACCAATCAGAGCCATGAAAGATAGAAAGACATGTTGGGTTGGTGGTTTAAAGAGAGTTTATTGTTGAGTCTCAATCCCAGCATCGATTTTGACAACTTGGCTCAACAATCAACTATATTTCTTCTTCTGTCTGGATCTGTCTCCACCATCCTAGCTCCTCTTATTGAAGCACACTTTATTAATTATAGCATGGGCTGCTCTCTGTTGTGATCCATCTCCCACAGTAACACCATTAGAGAAATCCAGAGGTAAATGAATTACTGATGATGCATCCACAAGCCTGGCAAGTCTCTGTGGACTGCAGCATGAAACAAAGCTTCATTCAGCCTGATTCACCACACTGAAGGGAGCGCATTCCCATCACGTTGTTTAATCTCTCAATCCACAGTGAAGTGTCTGTGTCTTTTTTTTTTTTGCAATGTGACCCTGACAGTTGGTGTGGGACGCTGGAGCTGGGAGATGATGCCGATGAAATGTTTCTGGTCAATGGTCAATGGCCAATTGTGTAATAATGAGAGGTCCACAGCAGGGTTCCAGTGGAAGAATCAATACAGACGCAATGGCAGTGTGGTGCCACTGAAAGGAGCTGGTGTCAGACAGGTTCCATGTGGTGTGGACACATACTGGAAGTGTTTCACTGTCTGGAAGCAGCCACAGGAGAAATGACCCAGCCTGCTCAGAAACATATTGATCAATCATTTGTTTGTTTGGAAATTCATTTTGGGTGATTTATTTTTGAGAAATTTGACATAGTGTCCTGAACTGACATGTTTCTGCTTATAAGAGATGGTATCAAATAAGTTTCTCAATAAAAGTAGAGTTAATTGATAGTTAATTGTTGAGTCTCATACCCAGGTTGTCAAATACAGATGCTGGAAATGAGTCTCAACAATCAATTACCTTCAAGTCACCAACCCAAAGCTTCATTCTTTTGACATGATTACACTCGACTCCAAGTATATGCTTTTTAAATACAGACAAAATAATACATGTGTCACACAAGACAAAAATAACGTAACAAAATAACCTCACAAGAAAAATAGCAGAAACACAAAAAGAAGAAAAAAGACTATTAAAATGGTTAATGGGATCCATTAAATAATTCAAATATTAGATAGACTACATTTAGTCAACTAAAATATGTCAGAGCAAAATTAAAAGTATACATAGTCCCTTCAATAGAAGATTTTTTCCCATTTCATATTCAATTCAATTCAAT